TTTTCATCAAGTGGTTACCACGACCCCAGGGTGTAAAAAGACATTTGGTGTTAACTGCCTTTTGTTCCAGTAAGCACGAGTCGATACTGTATGTCTGTTTTTACATGTTATGATATATGACACACTCTCTTGAAGCTGTTTGCGAATGCCTAAAGGATATCATGTCACCTGACTTTGTGTCAAAACAGACATAATTCATGTCTGTTTGCATAAAAATACTTCACCGAAATTTGTACATTTGAAAAACATGTGATGCCCCTGCCAACATGTCATCACATGTTATCTTGAATGGTGAGCTTGATGTTTTTTTAGGAGTACTCAAAGGCTGCACAGATTGTGAGGGGGAAAAAAACACATTGGGAATGACAAAATAAAAAAATAGGAGAAACATAGAAGATTTGGCTGTAACAATGAAAAGCATATTTACTGTTAACCTGCTCATTAAATATGTAGTACCCAATCAGCCAATTGCACGGCAGCAATTCAGTATGTTTGAATGTTTGATAAACAGTCACCCATTACAGCCAAGGTGTGCAGCAGAGCATCTCTGAATACACAACACGACCATAAAACAGAAGGGCAGCAGAAGACCGCACCTGTAGCTGAAGCTACAGTTCACACATTGGACACCAGAAGATTGGAAAGATGTTGCTTGGTAATGAGTCTCTTGTGGCATTTGGATGGTACGGTGTGAATTTGGCATAATGAAAGCATCCATCCAGCCTTGTATCAACTCTTCAGGCTGTTGGTGCTGGTGGTGTAATGGTGTGGTGGATATCTCTTGGCACATTTTGGGGCCCTTAGTGCCAACTGAGCATCATTTAAGTGCCGCAGCCTTTACGCAACAAGTGTCCAGTGACTGTACATATGCTCTTTCTACTGTGCATGTTGCACTTACATGTTATTATGTTCATCCACATAGCCAATGTCATTGAGCATGCATGTATTCAAATACAATTACACAGAGATATGTGTGTTTTACAACCAGTTTTCCATGCATGACAGTTTGTGGATTTGAATTCACATATGCATATTGCATATTATTAAAAACATACATACACATGTATTTTTTAAATAGCTAAACAGATGAAAGGGAAACTAGAATTAATGTGTAACATTAAAAACTACAAGCTTTTCCCCCATTCTTTCTTTATTAATCGCCCTACGAAGCCTTAGATTGAAGGAATTCACACTACCAATCCTCCAATAATTATTAACAAAAAAGTGGCAAATATGTCTTTTCAGAAAAATGCAGGACCAAACTTGAAAAACTTTAAACCACAATTCTCCAGTGCTATTGTGGTTTTCTAATATGTCAGATAGGTTCCTGCATGAGCACAATGTGTTCTGCCAAAACGGAAAAAGTTATTTCACACGAGAGTTCAAAATTCCTTTTCCATGTTGATTTGTAGTCGTCTCGTTGGTTTAAAATGAACTGGAAAGGGTGAAGTTGCATACTGTCCTTGAAAGATTTATAACAATCTGTGTGACGGACTTAATCTTCACCACTAATTTAATGAAACCTTATCTGAATTGAAAGAGCTACAAAAAAAGAGTCAGTCTGCTGCGTATCATAGCATTATTTTCTGTCTTACAAGACATTCATGACGAACCATGCAACCTTAACCTTTACATACTTTTCCTATTTCATACCTTTATAGTATGCTATCATGTATCATGTCTTGATTTACCTAAGAAATGAGAACATGATAGCTGTAACAACTTAAATATATTTTATTGTATGTAAAAATGGCAAAACAATTCTGAAACTGTTGGAGCTTGTTACATAACTACATTATTGTATAACCGTTACAGCTGGTGTGCACTCACTGCTATATCCTCACTGCTATATCCTCACTGCTATATCACAAAAATCCTCAGAACAACCATCTGTACTGTAATCATTATTATTAATTCAACATTAAGAACCACTGAAAACACAAAACATGCTTATTTCAAATTAACATATTTAAAGCAGTGGGAGGAAACCTTACATTTATGGGATTTCTCACGTGTTTCCCACACACTCACTGAACTGGCAGCTCAGGTGCATTATAATCTTAGGACTTTCCAGCCCCTCTTGGGATCTCTCGTCTCTGTCTTTAATCTCACGAAGCTCTCAGTTTGATCTCAGCTCAGAAAAAAAGAACTCTGATTGGTTTAGTTTTAGATTATTTTATTATATTTCAGATGCTTTATTTAGCAAGAGCAAATATGTTTGCATTTATATCTAATCTCACTGACCACTTAAACCACTTTTAACTACAATTCAGACTTTAACTATACATTAATACAGCACTACATTCTGTGCAATTCAAGGACTTTATTTACCTCATACCCATGGCCGATTTAGAATCACCAATTAGCCTAACATGCATTTCTTTACTTGGGGGAGAACATGCAAAGTTTAAACAGGCTCTGCCTAGATTTGAACCAGGAACTTTCTTAGTATGAGTTGACAGTGATAGCTCGTGCACCAACATGACTGCCCTATTTCAGGTCTCATATCTGTTTCAGGGGACCTTCTGACTACTGTAGCACATCTGTTGCCTTTGTGCACTATCTATGATCACTTCTATGTTTACTGTTTAACTCTTTGGAGGTTCCCCCATGAATGCTCAAAGACCAGCAGGTCCCTATGACTGCAGGAACTTGGGCAAATGTGGTGGGAAGACTGAAAAATCGTGTGACACCTCAAATTTTGTCATCACTTTCCCATAAAAAAAACACAGACGTGTGCCACGTCAAAGTCTCAAGATTCTTTAAAACCACCATTTTCTTGAAATCCATCTCAGTTTACAGTATATAGGTCAGTTTCGACCCAGGTCAGCTAGCCCCTGCACAACAGTGTCAAACTTTCAAATACTTTTTGTGTATTTTGGGTCACTTTAAGAAAAAGTCACCAAATTTAAGGCTAAAAGGATGACATTCAAGGTATTTTTAATCCTGCTAAATGTCAGGACAGGTCCAATTTGACCCAAACAATATGTAAAGGTTAACAATACCCTCAATTAACTGGTGGGTGTCAGATCTGCTAACAATGTACATTGTTTAGCAACGACTCATTATTCCCCTCAACCCATCCTCACTCGTCTGCCAGCAACTGCATCTTTATCACAGGGTTGAGTAATGTCACTCCTGCTTTGCCCCCTGCACTAATTATCAGATCTCTAATCATCAGTTTATCACACTTTCTTAAATGAGCAGAAACAAGGCCAGTATTGAGGCCCATCTTATTGACCGCATCGACTGCGTGGAAAAGAGAAGGGTGGTGGTGGTCTGAGGTGGGAAAAATGTTGAAGAGAAAATTGATTTTTAGGAACGTTCATCAATTCATAACTGGAGTTCAAACAGTAGAGCTATTATGTTAACCAGCTGAGCTTTCTTTTAATGGTGTTTTTTTTGTTTTTTTTTTGTAAAAACTGCTTCCAAAAGAACCAAACGAGTCAAGTGCACATTTTTCCCTTATTATCATTTCCCCCCTTCATAGTGGCAATTCATATGATTTTCCTTTTATTTGGTTGCCGCTACATAGTCACTTTACTACAGGTGGGAATGAAAGGAAAAGGCTGAATGAAAGAATGGCACAACACAAAATATGCAAATGATTCCACACAGATTCATCGCATGACACAATTGGGCAATTAACAGCTAATCACGCTCTGTGTTCAGCTGACTGGTGTGTCAGTAGATACAGTGCATTTAGAACTATGGCAGACACCAGAGTCAGAAACAGAGATGGGAAAGTGCGCGTTTACAGACCTTGATACTTGTGCATTAGTGCCATATGCATGGAAAAACAGAGGATCAACTCTACCTTAGAAAATGTCAGTGGCGTGATTAAACTGCAAGCAAGACTAGTCAATAAATTCTTCAAATACAGAGAAATTTTTTTATACCGAGCTTTAAGTGGAAAAACTCAATTTTAAGATGAATGAAGTTTAGAAGTCAGCATTGTTCTGCAGAGATGCAAAGAGAAGGTGATATGGTGAGATGAGTCATCCATCACCAACTTCTCAGTGTGTGGGCGAATGCATGTCATGCACCAAGAGAATGCCCATGGACATAAAGGCTTGACCCCAGCAGCAAGAGGATCCAATGGCTCTGTGATGGTATGGGAGGAATTTTGCTGGCATCAGGAAGTGTCACTGCAAACCATTGCAAAGCTGTACCGAGTGGCCACCTTTATTCTGTGACAAAACATTTCTTCCCTCATGGGAGTAGCCTATTTGAGGATGACAGAACCCCCTTCCCTATGGCAAAAGTGTTCACTGAATGGTTTGAGTCACTGGCCGGAGCTGTGGGAGCTTTTGAACCAACAGCGCTTCTCATAACCATCATTGAAACTGTCCAAATCTCTTTGGATGAATTGAGTTCAATCTCTCAGGTCGAGTGCAGAGTCAGTACAGACGTGCATGCAAACTGTAGTGATGTCAACACCAAACTGAGACGCTGTATGTATGTTTTTCTTTTAATTTGCCACCCCTTTTTTAAAAACTGGCCTGGATTTTTATGTTTGGGATTTGATGTCCACTGAGCTTGAAACACAACACAAACTTGTGTTAATCCAGGAAAGGGCTCTAGTCGTCTGACTTCTGTGAAATAAATGAGGTAGTAGCTTCAGTTTAATATTCTGATTCATCTCCCTCTTTTTTTATATACCTCACTGAGGTTCTTCTGCCTTTAACTCCCAAAGAGCCCCCCCCCACACACACACACACACACACACACTTCTAACGGCTGTCACACCAATTAGAAATCCTAGGTAATCTTACGTCTAGTCATTAAAATCCAGTCAGACACTGGGTGCAATAATGTTCAAAGGGTGCTGTGACAATCTCTGAAATATGAAGCAACCTTTATTAGATTTCCACAAGGAGGATTCCGTCAGCAATCTGTTCTCAGGATTGTGTTTAACCGCCTACAGTCTGTGGTCTCCACATTAGAAATATATATATATATATAATCTATGATCTGCTTCTGTTTGGGTTGCAGCGGGATAGGAGGGTTTGCGCTGAGGTGGAAGTGAAGCAGTAGGCGGTGAGGCGGTGGCACATCTATCGAGGGCAGGGCGGTACTGGGGTGGAACGTTGCCCTGGAGCGCGCCGCACGTACCGAAGGGACGCGCTGATTGACAGTCGGAGGCACGGAGCGCCCCGTGCGGAGCTCGCAAGCGGAGCACGCTAATCTCACCGCAACACGTCTTGTCAACGGCATTGTGTGAAATTCCCAGATAGATCAGCCTGGCGCAGAAAAGAAAAAGAGCAAGAGTATCCGTCCAGCGGCTCCGTTATTGGAGGGTTTCTGGAGAAGTGGAAAGGACGCGGCGGCTCTGCAACTCTCTCCCCATCTTCTCTCTACCTGTTCAGTGATAAGTGGAAACAGTCTTGGCCAACCTGGCGCCTCAAAGTGTCCGGATAACGGGAGTGGGTGGACGCAAAGGTCAGAATGCACCAAGCAATCTGAGCGAACAAAGATTTTTGTCGATTTCTTTTTGTGGACTAAAAGGACTGCGCTTGGTGCTTGATCAAGATAAATTTTTGGGGGGAGAGGTTGCTCTTTTTTTTTTTTTTTAATTGTTAAATGCAAAATAATCGCGTTTGTGAATCTGTTTTTAATTTCCAGGAGATTGTAATAGAAGAAAACTCTTTCTAATTGGAATATTGGATACAGAAGCAGGAAAGTCTGGAGGAATTTAGTCTAAGTTCCCTTGGTGCGTAATGTGTGCAAGTGCCGCATAAGTACTTTTGCCTTGTCCGTTTTTCTACGTCCAGTACCCCCATTTTTCTTTCTCATGGAGTAGGCTGAATCGCAGGTAAAGACTTAAAAAGAGTGGGCTTATTCCCTGCCGCCCCGAAACACAGGCGGATTCGATGCGCCGATTCTTCGTGTGATGGTAAATGACCGATGGGGAATCATGAACAGCTCTTCTGAACTCGAAGATGGAACTCGGCATAAAAACCAGGTATGTTCCGCACATTCTCCACTCGATCTGTGGGCTTTTTTTAATTACTATTATTATTATTATTATTATTATGAGGAGTGGTGCATCTGCTTGCTGCAGTGTTACCACGCTGAATTTGGTGATGTGCCTCTCGGGCGAATCACTGCACTGTAGAGACAGAAGCTGCAGATGAGCTGTTATTCCCGACTCCCCGAGCTTTAGCACTTCTGTTCCTGTCATAATGTTTCAACCCACCCGCGGATCACACGGTCCCCACGGCTACTTTTTATTTATTTTTTTTATTTTAATGTGTCACAGCGCGCGAACGTGTTAGTTAGCCCTACTTAGAAATACATTAATTAAGGGGAATAGGTGAAAATCACTGCAGGAGATAATTGCGCATCTCGGCTGCATCCTCACCACATATTGTCAGATTACTTCGGGCTGCAAGCTGCTCGCTTGTCTGAAAATCCCGTTTGTCTTGTTGAAAATGCCGAAACTTGGCGCACAGACATCCTCCCGACAGTCTTGAGTTCAGCCTGTCTCCCGCTCGGGTGAACTGGGACAGGGTCGGACGTGTATGGTGTTGCATGCACGAAAGGCTTACTTTGGGGAATAGTCAATGTGTTTTCACAAGGTCAGTAGAGGGTTATTGACAGCCAATGAGAGAGAGAAAGAGACAGAGAGAGGAGGCGAGAGAGAGAAAGGTCTCCTCGGGAACAAGGGATCGGATTTCGGGGCACTGATACAGCTTGTGGCCTTTGCAAAACACACAGAAAGGAGAAAACACACGTTTTCCTTTCCTTGTTTCTAAAAATGTAGATGGCTTTTAATAAGAAATGTGAAAGTGCTGAAAAGTTCCTCAGAGAAATCTGAGACAGTAAGAGTAAATCTGACGTGAGCCTGCAGTTTGGCGACCTTTCCATTGCTGACGCACCTTTGATTTGTTTCAAAGGAAATCAGCTCACATAAATCGCACAATAGATTTTTTTTAAAATATACGACAACATTATTATCCCAGTGAGACTAATCAATAATATGTGTTTTTAGAATGTTTTTGTTTTGTTTTTTGTACTGTGAATTGCGAATGGTGCCATTCCAATTGTTAGAAAGACGCTCGACTTTGGCACATTTCTAATACTGCTTAGGTGTTGGATGTGTGGCTTGCTGCTCTCCTGTAGATTTCAGGGCTCAGTCAGAGTCACTTGCATGGTGGCACTGTGGGCCTGTGTTTGAGTCTTGCTGCATGAGTATGGACTGATACCGAGATGAGTTTAATGTGTTGTATGTTACAGCTGGCAGATCTTCATGTAACCTGCTTATAAGTGAAGTCGAGGCCAGCGTTTTATTGCCTACAAGCTCCCCTGTCTATTTTATAAGCACTTAAAGGTCACGTGAACACCAGATAGCCTGCCCTGGGTTTTAATGTGTTGAGTGTGTGTGTGT